CCCGCTCCCGGTCCGCTCAGTGCAAATGGTGGACGAATGCCCTGCGCCATGATCGAAAACCCATTGGTCGACTTCCAAACCCAGGTCAACAGCGTTAACAACCCACCGGGTACGCCTATGCAGGACATTGAGATTGAGACAAGCGGAAGGAGTGACGGTGGTCAAGTTGGAGGAAATGGGGCGGACGACGGATCAAGTGGGAGGGGAAGTGGGAACAACAATGGTAACGGCCAGGGTGGTACGAGTGGGCAAGGCGAGATCGCAGGTCCAGGCGGTAACGCTCAACTGGGAGCAGCTGTGCGGATGTCGGGGGAGCAATTCTCGATACTAATGATTGGCATGTTGGGAGCGGTCGTAGTGATGTGCACCTCAGTTAGTTTGTAGTCGCTAAGTAGTGGTCCGCAGCCATAACGACTTGATGATACCACGATTCAAATGTGCATGCTTTGTGCCCAGTCAGTAATAAAAGCTGTAATGATGCACAGTCTCACAAATTGCAGTACGAGGCTCGCAGCGTATGCGCTGGGCGGCAGGTTCACGCATTGGCGATTGTAACAACATATGATGTCCATGACGAATTTGATTGATTCTAGATGTCCGACATTATGGTGGAACCTATCCAGCTCCTCCGATATATGCCATGATGCCGTAACTCGTTGTCGATCGTATCGCGTTCCCCGGTGGCGACGCGCTTATTTGGCCTCGTCGAAGACGTAGGTGAGGTGGCACTTTCCGCAGTACTGGCGGTTGTGCATGGCGGCCATGAAGACACCGGCACCGCACTCGGCCTGGGGGCACTCGCGGCGGAGGCGCTCGATCTTGCCGTCACCGTCGACCTTGTAGTACTTGAGGACCGCTAGCTTGGTCTTCTTGCGCTTGTGCTTGATCTTCTTGGGGGTAGTGTACACCTTCTTCTTGCGCTTCTTGGCTCCACCACGGAGGCGGAGGACCAAGTGGAGGGTGGACTCCTTCTGGATGTTGTAGTCCGAAAGAGTGCGGCCATCCTCGAGCTGCTTTCCGGCGAAGATCAGACGCTGCTGGTCCGGGGGAATGCCCTCCTTGTCTGGGCGGTGTTAGACGCGAAACCGGTAGAGCGGTGTGTCGCTACATACCCTGAATCTTGGACTTGACATTGTCAATGGTATCAGAGCTCTCGACCTCGAGAGTGATGGTCTTGCCCGTGACTGGGAGATTGTTAGCCGCTGAGCTCTAGGTGGCGCTGCGCATGCGATCATGGCGATAATGGCGGCGCAGCGTGTGTGCGGGTGGTAACGTACGGGTCTTGACGAAGATCTGCATCTTGAACGCTGAGCCTCTCTTCGAGATGCTTTCCTCACGTAGATGCAAAGGTTGCGGGGAGAAGGCACCAGAGGAATTCGAAAAGTACCAAAATCAATGTGGGCGGGCCCGCGGGCTACTAGGCGCCCCGTGCGTTTTGCAGATGCGCTATCGCCGTCTCAGCCTAGCCTCGCTTCTGGTGCATGGGCGGCTCCGGGTAACCTTGGAACCATGTCGTTGCGGCGGCAACGCCAGATAGAGCTCAATGTTTACCCGACCCGGTAAGGCATTATACATCGTCATATCCTCCTCCGCATTTATCCTCCACTTTGCTACTCATCTCTCGCATCCACATCTCTTTGTTCGTTTCAACTATCGATTGCTGCTTTAGCGACTGCTACTGATCACATCTCTACCAACACACTATACACACACACAGGCTTCGGCCAGACTTACTTGACGCAGGCTACTGGGAGACTGCATCTGTACTGAGGATTCCATAAGGATACTAACCGCCCGGCGGAGCGCCGCTTGCACTGCGTGAGGTAAGTCGTTATCTCTCAGCTCGAGGCTTCCGTCTCATCGTGGTCGGGCCATCACATGATATCAGTTGCTAACAATATACCAGTTTCGGACACCACAGGACTATCCCCCTCCTTCAGAACCGACTCCGGACTCCACCTGCATACGAAATGCTGTCCACAAATATGCCAGCCGGCATCCAGCGCCAACGGATTCAGCACCGCCGACAACTTTCGACACCAGCTGTTTTTGACGCACCCACAGTACGAGCACCACCTGCTAAACTACAACGACGCAACCGAAGCGGCATGAGCTTGGATCTACGCGGTCTCAACCTAGACCCCATCCATGCCGCCCGACAAGCCCAACACCAGGACTACACCCAACGACCAGGACCCTTCGACACACCCACCTTCCAGCAGGAGGACAGTACGGTAAGTAATACTAACAATCTAGGACAAATACCACAGCAATCTATGCAAGTAGCGCAGCCGCTAAGACAGCCCCAGCCGGGCCCCCAGGATTCCTTTTTGGCGTCCCCAGTACAGATCTCTCCCATCACACCGCGGACTCCACGACGGACACTCCGTGCGCAGTCTCCCCAGCAGCCTCCCTCATCCCCCTCTAAACCCCCCACTGCACAGCAACTGAAAGAACTCCACGAGCACATACAATCAGTGTATGGCTCAAGTGGACAAGTCTTCATTAACATCCTCCCAACCCCCACTGCGACACCGCAAAAGCCAGCGCAGCTACCAAGCCATGAGTCGTTTGGCGCAACCCAGCACCCAAGCTTCACTGCTATGGGTGACATCAACCTCGAGCCAACCTCCAGAGCCATGACTTTCGACTTTGACAACCCAGATGCCGACATGGGTTACGAGTCGTCCTCTTACTACACATCCGATGCTTTGTCGCCATCGCCAGTTTCTTCGCCGCAACAGCAGAAAGACATGCACTCTTTCCTAGAGAACATCGAAGAGCACCAAGAGATGATGTTTTCGCACACACCAGCTCTGTTGCCCACACCGCAAACTTCAATGTCGATCAACGGACTCCCCATGGACTCATTCTCCCAGCCTCAGATCTTCAACGACCTTGAGGTTGACGCGAGCTTCGAGTTCACTGGCATCGCACCTGAAGAAGTTGCGCGTTACATCAGCGAGCAAGATGCCACAACTGGCAAGTGGACCTGCCTCTACCATGGTTGCGGCAAGGTCTTCGGACGACGAGAAAACATCCGATCGCACGTTCAAACCCATCTTGGCGATCGTCAATACAAGTGCAATGGATGTGGCAAGTGCTTTGTTCGCCAGCATGACCTGAAGCGCCACGCAAAGATCCACTCAGGCAACAAGCCCTACAAGTGCCCATGTGGCGCCGGGTTCGCACGACAAGATGCCCTCACGCGCCACCGTCAGCGTGGTATGTGTGTCGGTGGGTTCCCTGACGCAGTCCGCCGACAAGCCAAGCGTGGCCGACCGAAGAAGAATCGTCCAGACATGGAGCAGCGTGTCGAGAAGGCCAGCAGGTCGCGGGCACTAGCATCGGCAGCACCATCTTCAGCTGGCTCGCCTTACTCAGAAGCTCGATCGCCATCACCACTCGAGGGCTACGAACCTGCTCAATCGCAGGACATGCCCCAGCTTCTGTCCGACTCGCAAAGCTACGACTCCATGAACGCTTCAGCGGATCCCTTCAGGTTAGTTCTTCAACCACACTTTGTCCAATACAATACTGATACATGCAATAGCTTTGAGGCCTCATCAAGCCCATTCGCAGACGACGCACAATCGAGCTTTGCGTCTGCCAACTACTCAAGCGACGCTGCGTCAATGAACATCCTCCAACAGCTCTCTCAACACTCGCATACGCCTCCTATGTCACCCGCCGACATGCGGCCCGCTTCCGCTGGGTCCGCAAACGGTTCGAGCGCGCCAGTCCAGTCCAGCCCGCTAAAGGCTTCGTCGTCACCATCACGGTCGTCTGTCCAGTCTCATCAATTTACAACACCACCGACATCGCCAATCGAGCCCAAAGACGCCCTCGATGAGTTGTTCGACACCATGCCTGACACCTCATACTCTCAGTTCGACCTTGAGATGAAGGCAATGGGCGACTTCACTTCATTGGACTCCTCATCGTACGACCTTTTGGACTTCACCGTATAAACATTCTTACTCGACGCGACGACGCCACTGCGAGGCTGTATGATAACTGTTATGGATTACGACGTATAATGACTCGGCGTTTGCGAAATCTCTGGAAGATGGTTCAACGCATTGCTTTCAATTCTTACTTCTGGGCAGGCTCTCCAAGATCTTGACAGGATCTAAGATCATTCTTAGGAAAGGATCATGTTTCGCTTCTGGTTTTTGTTACTATAGGGGCCGCGCGACGTGGGGATCACGCTCCTTTGGCAGGCACAATTGTTATTTTCAAAACGGCGTATATGGTTTGGCTATCTCGACGATTGAACGTCAGAACTAGTGCAGTATTTCTGCTAGCGATGCATCGATATGAACGATGAGCGTTTATGTAGCAATGCGACAATGTTGGACGTCTTGTCAATCGACAAATATGACTTCATCTTGAAACATCACTATCCAGACATAATCTTTACCTGTGATTCCCTGGTCAACCAACGAGCTGACAAAAAGTAAGTCATGTATCTGATCTATCGAATTCGGAGTGGCACCTGGGTCGTCACAGGAACGCAGAAGCGCTAAGTCGTCACGGCAATTAGTTGACGTCACGACATCTGATCGCGCGCACCCGTGTTCGCGACGCGCCAGCCCCCGATCCCTTTCACCCCAACCTTTCCAATTTCATACAGTTTCAGATCGATATCCTGACGTCGATTCCAGATCGGATCTATTGACGCACCAGCACCTGCCAGCCACTTAGAATACCTCCCGAAGGTGCCGTTCCCCACTGTCTCGATCGTACCTGCAGATCAGGACGACATCTATGATGTAGATGCATGGGTCAGACAAAGCCCCCTATGGTGTGGCATGGCATTTGCTATGCGATTAGGTCGGCGATCCGGAACAGCGATGATGTCGGTGCAGGGGTAGATTTGAATCTGTGGGCTGTTGCGATGTCAGTATAGATGTAGTGTGCCGTCGTTCATGTTAGAGGCCATTCACACTCATACTCTCACCGGTACGCCTGGCACCAATCGCACTCTCTTTGAAGCAATGGCTCAGACTACCACCAAAGCTCATACCCTACACTTTTCCTATGACAACGACGATAGTTGTGCGCTCACAGCTCTCATCAATGATGTCCGTTTCCACGTCACTGTCGACCCCAAGGTACTTCAGAAGTCCTCTGAGAAGCCTCTCTACTATGAATACCTCGACAAGATATCTGCGCTTCGCGAAGCCGACGAGCGCGAAGAGGAGCTAGCCGAAGAACGAGAAGCAAAAGTGAAGAGCAAGAAGAACAAGAACAAAGACCGACAAGGCTCAGAGGGAAAGGATAGTGGCATCGACGTCACAGCCGACTCTGACGACGAATACGTAGAGGACGACGTCTCAGAAGCAGGAGAAGACGCCGATCAAGACTCCGCGAGCGCAGGCGTCGAACTGCGAAACTGGATCCTCGCCTCCTTCTCCGAAATCACAAACACCTACGCACCACCGAACCGCGAACCCGAAGAATCCACCTTGTACGAATGGTACCACGGCCCCACCTATTTCTACACCCTACAAATCGCCAGCGGAGAACTCTCACCAGAACTCTTGGAAACAACATCCGACCTAGAAGCCCAAATCGAAGCCCTCGTCCCCCGCATGAAAGTCCCCAAATACATGCAAGATTACAAGCTCCCCTGGCTCAACGCCAACGATTTGACCGTCGAGTCCGAAGTCAGCATGCCACCTCCAGCACACCCAGGCCAAGTCCTCCACAAAGAAACAAACGAGACATACTTCTTCAAACCGGTCGTAGCCGACCAACCCGACTCTGTGAAGCGCGAGATACAGATCCTGCGTAAGATCGAGAAATTAGGTCTTGATATCAAGTTTCCCCATCTACGCGGGTTTGTCGCTCAGGGCAAGAGTAAGACTGAAGTCATGGGCTTGTTGTTAGAGAACATCGATGCGCCAACACCATTGACCAAGTTGCTCAGGTCGTCGGTGGATGAAGAGAAGAGGCGTGTTTGGAGTGAGAAGAGTGCGGCGTATGTATCATTACTCCACGACAATGGCATCATTTGGGGTGATGCGAAAGCAGACAACTTCATGGTCGACGCGAATGACGAGCTTTGGATTATTGATTTCGGGGGCAGTTATACAGAGGGCTGGGTGGATCCCGATATCAGTGAGACGCTTGAGGGAGACGATATGGGGCTGGAGAAGATTCAGGCTGCGCTCGAGGATCCGGATAAGAATACGGCGGATTTGGGGTTGGTTGACGAGGAGGAGGAGGATGCAGAGGCGGTGGTGGAGCAAGGAGTGAGTGAGCAGAGTAGTAGTAGTGTCAAGGAGACGGCTAGTACGTTATTTGTTACGGAGAAGTCGGCTGGTGAGGAGGTTACGAGGACGGAGAAGAGGAAGAGGGCTGTGGATGAGGTTGAGAGTGAGGTTGGTGAGAGTGGAGCTGAGGTTGCTGGTGACGAAGACGAGCCTGTGGAGAAGAAGAGGAAGAGCGAAGAGTGATACCCCTATATAGTACTTGCGCATTAATACCATTAACCTTTCGACACAGTCTTGTTTTCTCCTTCATATGATGCTTCAGTGGTACATGTGGCCATCGCATGCGCCTCTTGTATCATGGGAATTGAGCGGGGTTGAGTTGGAGTACTTTGTTGTTATTCGGTCAAGAGTGGAAAGCTACACAATTGCACGCTTGCACCTCGCTTTTCCCAGAGATATTTATACACGGCGTTGTCTTCGAATAGTATGTCCCAAAGACGCATTCCACCTAGTCTTCTTACTTCCTGTTCGCCCTCTGCTCCTTATCCGCTGTGGTTTGGCTGATGTCCAGACCGAGACCCCTGCTGTCGAGGTAGACCTTGTTTGCGCTCTGCTGCAGAATCTGTGCGATATTCCTTGCGTTCTCGAACTCCCTGAGATCGACGTAACTCCTGCTCTTCTTGATGGCGTCACCAATCAGCTCGGCGGAGCGGGCCTCACCCTGGGCGCGGACAACGGTGGCTTGCTTCTCTTGGCGGGCTTTGTCGACGACGAAGGCGGCACGTTGGGCCTCTTGCTGTGCGACTTGCTTGGCTTCGACCGCGGCGGTGAACTCGGGGGAGAAGGCGAGGTGCTAAGGAGTGTTAGACCATGGTGGGGTAAGAACAGGTGGGCGGCAACTTACTGTTAGAGAGACATCGTCGAGCATGATGTTGAACCTCGCTGCTCTTCGGACCAAGTTGTCGCGTACCAGCCTACTGACGTTCTCACGCTGTGTGATGAGCTGGCTGGCATTGAACTGCGCCACGACGCTCTTGAGAACCTCGTTGACGATTGATGGCAGAACACGCTCATCGTAGTCGGTGCCCAGTGTCCTGTAGATCTGCGGCAGAGATTCAACCCGCGGTCTTGACAGTACACGGCAGGTTATGTTGACCATCTGCAAGTCCTTGGTGCCGGTGAGGGAGGCGACGTTTCGGGGTTTGGCGCGCACATCGTAGGTGATGGGTGTCTCGAACCAGGGAATGCGGAAGTGGGTTCCTTCGCTGTAGATTTCCTTCTGGACGCCGCCTACTCGGGTGTACTTGATTGCTCGATGACCACCGTCGACTGTCGCAAGTCAGCACCATGCATCTTGTGGCCCATTGGGAGTCCTTGGAGAGACCCCTGTGAAGAAGACTTACCGTTGAACAGAGCATTGTTCGCCATCCAGATTCCACCACCAACTAGTACCAGACCTCCAAGACCTCCAAAGAGGCCCTTCGGTGGTCCGCCGCCGCCCGCGCCGCCGAATCGAGAGCCGCGTCGAGTGAGCTCATTCTGGATGCGCGCCCAGGCTTCCTTGGGATCCGGTGCAGACATGTTGGCCGTGAAGGTGAGGGTGAGGGGTTGGCGTGGGGTGCGTGAGACGTGTAGGCGGCGACGATGGCGGATGCAGCTCGGTCATGAGGTAGTCGACGATGAGAAAATGGTAGTCGGCCAATCACGACTCCCGACGGCACCGAACCGCCAAGCAACCTCCGCATCGCTGTATCGCGGTGGCTAGACCCTTTTGCGACTATATTTTCGGTCATTTGCGCGTCGCTTGAAACATTCCATCAGTGTCGTACCCACAGGTCGAATGTCCTCGCGGGCTTGACGTCTCATCTTAGATGGTGGCTTACCAGAGTTGTCGCAGTATCTCGGCGCATAGACCACCCAATCAATGTCATAGGTAGTCCCGTCTTAAGCACAGCTGTCCATAAGCTCCCCCATCTCCATTCGGTTTCGTTCCTGCCCATCTGGCGGCGGTTCTTCTTTTCTTGTGCATTGCCATCGTTTCGTGATACCCGATTGTTTCCTTCACTCTCGATTAATTGACTTGCGACCGTCGCGTGAACCATTGCGACGCAGGTGAAGCTACTATCAGCCAAGCAGGAGGTACGTTGGTTCACTGCTTTAGCTCCAATTCGACAACCCTCTGACAAGATTCCAGATAGATAGACTACGTCTGAGTATAATCGAGCAACCAATTGCACCCCGAGTCGAACCTCATCGTCAACCCGAGCACCGCATTGCGCCCCTCCAACATGCGCATCACACCGCAATCGCTGCGGACCATTGCCTGGTCGACACTCGCTCTCTCCACAGCGCACGCCCAATATGTCATAGACAACCTCAGCTTTGGCCAGAAAGCTGGCCAACAAATCTCGCCCGATTACACGACAGTCCCTCACTTCGTCATCCAGGGCTCAGACGACTACGTGCCCCAGATTCTTTCCGACAGAATTATCCTCACACCTCCCTACCCTGGAGGCAAGCGTGGTTCGATATGGGCGCAGGACCCGCTACACCACAGCGGCGACTGGACGGCCGAGTTGGACTTCAGAGCGACTGGCATGGAGCGTGGAGGCGGTAACCTGCAGTTGTGGTACATCAAGGATTCGCAAGCGCGGGAGACACCAGCGAGCCTGTATACGGCTCCTAAATTTGACGGACTGGTACTCGTCATAGACCAGTATGAAGGACACGGCGGCTCTGTTCGCGGTTTCCTGAACGACGGGACCAAGGACATCAGGGCTCACCCTGACCCTGACACATTGGCCTTTGGCAGATGCGATTATGCATACAGGAACCGTGGAGAGCTTACGCCTATCAAATTGCACCACGCAGAGGGTTTCCTAGAGGTCATTGTAGACGGGGAAACCTGCTTCAAGACCAACAAGGTATGCTCTCAAACCCACGCGCTCAGATACACACCACTAACTATCCCTCTAGGTCGATCTCCCTGAAGGCTACTACTTCGGTGTAAGCGCCTCCTCCGCCGAGAACCCCGACTCCTTCGAAGTCCACAAGTTCGTCGTCTCTACCACCAACTCGTACACGCGCGAAGAGCCCAACCTAAGCAAGAAGGACTACATCAACTCCCAGCAACAACACCAACAACAGCAAAACCTCGCCGCCCAACAAGGCCACGAGCAGCAGACGCACAAGCAAAACCAAGGGCAGCAGAACTACGGTTCCTCCACCTCCCAGCAAAACATCCCCAAGATGCTCGAAGACGTCCTAGCAGGCAACATCCGCTCGCAACAAGACCAATTCGCCGACCTCCACAATCGCATTCAGATCATCAACAACCGCGTCTATGAAATCGCAGAGACCGTTACACTCATCCACAAGGAGAACATGGAGCGCTGGGAGGAGCTCCATCGCCGCATCGTACCCATGGACGACCGCGCCGCGGCCACGATCCGCAACATGGAGAAGGTTGAGCGCACGACTATGCAGATACTGCGAGACATCGAGAACAAGGATTACAAGGACATGATGCAGCAGATTCATCACGCCCTGGACAGGAACCACGGACACGTCATGTCGAGTTTGCCTGGTATGATGGGTGATGGTAAGTGACAATTCTCTATCCGGTGCGTCCTGAGAGGGCAGCAAAGCTAACTCGGTATTACAGTTGTTGGCAGCCACGGACCCAGCCTAATGACCTTCTTCTTCATCGCGGTCGCTGTTCAGATTATGATCACAGGTGCTTATATCGTGTACAAGAAAAGGCGAGGCGGCGCGCCCAAGAAATACTTGTAAACCATTCTCCGGGGGCTTGGTATCAGACCAAAAGACGTGCATACATAGGGGTTGGGGGATGTGTACTATACGCTGTATCCGAGAAACGCATTGTTCTCGGTGATTTGTTTGGTAGCTGGCATGGAATGTTACATGGCATTGCTTTTATCGCAAAAGGAGCCGGTGATATGTACGCGGCGTTTGGTTTGTGACTCGCAAGGAAAGTAAGCTGAAGTACGTATTCGTACTCAGGTTCATATTCAAGTTGTAGATATCTTCTATGCAATTCGTACCCAAATGAAAAACACCGTCTATGCAATGACAGGAAGGAAAGACGTCAAACACCACATGCTCTATGCAGCGTGTCCCAGCCATGTATATGCAGCCCACCCTTCATAACAACCAAAGCAAATACCCCACCCTCCTTGACCTAAACGCTCATCTTGCGCGGCTCAAGCAACAACTTACCCTGCGGTCCAGATTTCTCTTGAAACCCTTCTGTCCTCGAAAAGACACGTTGACCGCGTAGCCAAGTCTCCCTCACAACACCTTTAAGCGTCTTATTCTCATACGGCGAGACCTTGTTGCGGAAGAGCATGGTGTTAGGTTCGACCTGCATTACCGTTAGCCCACAGCCCATCCGTAAATAAAGTGAGGAAAGAAGAAATCGGGAATCACATACCAAGAACTCAGCCTCATCGTCAAAAACCACAATATCAGCATCAAAACCCACACTAATATCGCCCTTGCTCTTCTCCAGCCCAACCTGCTTCGCCGTATTCCTACAGCACCAGCGTACGATTTCCTCGACGCTGAAGTCGGGATTGCGCTTCGTGCCTTCGGTCCACAGGATAGGTAGACCGAGACCCACGCTCGAGATGCCGCCCCAAGCGCTGAAGAAATCGCCTTTTTCTTCTGGTCCTTGGACTTCGGTCTTGCTGCTCTCACCCGTCTTCCTAGGTGCTAGATGCGGGGGTAAGAGTTTGATCTCAGGCGTGCAAGGCGAGTGGTCTGAGACGACTGTTTGAATCACGCCATCGGCTGTGTCTTGAAGCAGTTCTTCCCAGAGGCCATCTTGGTTGGATTGAGAACGGATGGGCGGGCAGCATTTATGTCTTGTGTCGCCTTCCTGGATGCCTTCGGATGCGAGAGCAAGGTAGTGGAAACAGGTTTCTGCTGTGATTTTGATGCCGTCCGCGCGCGCTTTACGTAGCATGGGGATGGCTTCTATGGCAGAGAGGTGCACGATGTGGAGTTGCAGGTCCGGGGCGAGATGGGCTAGCGAGAGGATTTCGGCTACGGCGCAGGTTTCGAAGGATGGCGGGCGGGATTGCAGGAATGTGTCGTACGAAGTTAATGGGCCTTTGGGGGCGAGTGGAGGAAGGGATTGTTGCACGTCGTCGCCTACAGAGTCGGTGATGGGTGGGATCATTTCGGCGTGGAACATTAGTGTTGTAGTGGAGTCTTTGAGTTCAAGGAGCGCTTTTTCGATGTCAAGGGATGAGACGGCGGGGAATTCGTCGACCTAAGGAGTGGTTAGTGTCACGTGCTAGGGTGCTGAGATGAATATACTCACTCCACTGTCACACAGGAAACCCTTGAAGCCCCGAACACCCTCCTTAACTAAAGCCTTGAGATCTCCTGAGTTGCCCGGGATGATGCCGCCGTAGAAGCCTACGTCGACCCAGCACTTTCCCTGTGATGCTTCGCATTTGATCTTGAGGTTCTCGACCGTAGTTGTAGGAGGGATAGCGTTCAAGGGCATGTCAATGACTGTTGTGACACCACCGAAAGCCGCAGCCCGAGTACCAGTCCAGAAACCTTCCCACTCCGTCCGACCAGGCTCGTTGAGGTGGACATGGGCATCAACGAGACCAGGTAGTAGGATTTGCGGCGAGTAGTCGGTGTATGGCGTGCCTTCAGGGAAGTCTGTAGGAGGAAGTACTGAGTGGAAGATGGAAGTGATCTTTCCTGTAAGGTTTGATACAACGATTGTAGCCTCCGTCAGCCGACCAGCAACGACTGCTCTTGATGAGGCGAGGACTGTGATGGCTTGAACGGGTTGCTCGTGGGAGACGGGTGGAGGCGTAGTTGCGTGGGGTGTCATGATGCCAAGTTGGAAGTTTAATCGACTGTGAGAAGACGAAGAGAAGAAAAGAGTGCGCAAAGAAGTCTGAAAGTGCTCAGCTCCGTGCTAACAGCAAGAGCTATATACAGCAACAAGCCCCGAACTCGGCAAACGCGGGGAAGAAGGTGGGCGTCTCCGGGTGAGCTGCAGATAAGCGTTGATAAGGCACGTTTGGTGTTGCGCCTAACAGATGTCAAAGAGGAAAGTAGTTTGTATCTTGCTGAAAGTTGGCAAAGCAGTACTTTCAAACAGAAAAGACCTTTGAGAGAAGAGATGCGCTCAATAAGTCGTTATCAAAAACGCCAAAACCTGGGGTACAGGTCCTTATCTACCCGTTGGTATGGGCCAGCCTTCAGATCCTCTCGGGGCATTGTAGCCAGAATCTGGGTCAGCTAACATGGCGTCAGGGGACTGTGGAGCATCGGCGAACCCTGGAATACACGTTGCTCGATTCTATCGAGTAACTAGGGTGGAGGTAGTCTATCGCGGCCGCCTTAGCCATGCATCTCGACCCTGTCTCCCGTTGGCCGATTTAGTGTAGATACGAGGCTATTCGCCCTGATACTGTGTGCTACTCCAAGATCGAACATGCGAGATTTTGGCTGTCTAGGTTGGGCGCGCATTATGAGCTGTTTCTCCGTCATCATTTCTCGAAGGTTGATTCCTCGAAGATTGGGAAGAGCGTTGGTATCGGTAAACTTCCTAAACGTGTTGCTGCACGTTGTGGATGGTGTTGGGGGACGTGCATGTGTTACTGATAAGCAGCTGCAAGGGTATTGCTGCACGCGATAGGCGCACAGTAGATCGCGCGATTAGAGCCCTCAGACTAGCGCAGGGTCAACGGCGGAGCGTCATACTTCTAGAATCTCAGACCCAGGGCCTCTGTGGTTTTTATTCACTGCTTTCTTTACAGTTCGCGTAAGGATTGAAGATAGAAACACACTCTTCTTGTGGACTGCTCGTTGGCATAGAAGGTGCGAGTTCGAAGACATCGGAGTAAGGCCCGATTCCATCGGAGAAGCTAAGCATATGTCAGCCAGCGTACCTCCCAACACGACCTTCCCATTACTCGATAGAAATCGAGTAAAGGAAATACGATGCGCCGAAGACTGAGGCGAGCCGCAGACTAGACCCATGCGAACGCCTTGACTGTTCGGGGCTGGCCGACAGCCATATTGTCAACCGAGAACCCGAACGCGCCCGGGTCATGCTGGTGCCATTCTTCTACCTACCTCGTCCCAGCAAGCGCGACTACACCTGGACATTTTACTGAGACCCCGAAATGCGAGGATATGTATAGATATGAAGAGACGGCTATGCTGTGGTTTCGGGGGTTTCCGATGTTCTATCGTGCTATGATCGTCGGTGGAAGTCGTCTATTGCAAGCGGCGAACTACGGCACTGAAGCCCTGTCCTCAGGGTAACTATCGAGTAACGGAAACTCGACGCCTCTCGGATTCTGGAATTTTCAGTAGCGCGCCAACACGACGGACGTCGCAAAGACGATAGCTACTCTCGACTTGCTCTGGCGGCCGGCAGGCTCTGCAGGCACGATGGGCCGAACTGCCTCTACATTGGCTGCATGCGCCTACGGGCAGCTCAGTGTAGCGGTAAAGACCTTGCAGCTGCGCTTCAACGCCGAAGACAAGTTTTGCTTACGTTTGCCCGGGTGATTTAAGGCGTGTTGCTCAGCATGGTACGCAATGGTCCTAGCCGGCATGTCAAACGGGCTGCTGCGTCCGACAGCGGCTCGGTGATCAGCGTCGACAGGCATGACTGCATGTCTGACGCGTACTTGTTCGTCTGTGAATGGTGTCTGTAATATTTATGCAATCACGCCAACCTAGGGAAAAACTGAACAGCCTGGAGCCTACGTTGACTTTGGGTCGCCTCCTTTGCAAGGTTTTGGGTCAATGTAGTCTGCAGACCTGTTCAGTTTTCCCTGGTATGAGGTGCAATGGCTGCCACATTCAGAACGACCAGGCAAGTGGGAAGATCAGCTCAAAGCGCTTCAACGAATATTGGTAAGCTGGGATTGTTTGTCATATGAGAGAGGGCCAGCAACACCTGTAGCTTCTTTGAGAGATTCGTTGGTTGAATATGCCTGACGACCCCGTCCCCAAACAGCGTAGCAGCTAACGATGTACACCCAACCTCACTTCTTCAGCGTCGACTGCTTCTTCTGCGGAAACGAGGATGACTTTGGAACTTTGTTAGCTGCCAACAGAGTTCGTGAGTTGTAAAGACTAGCTTGGAGTCCATATGCTGCAGCCGTCTCTCGTCTAAGATCCAGATAAGTGTAGGCGTCTGGTTTGTAGTAAATGGTCCTGCCGATGTTGATGAGACCCATGGTCTCAAGCTCATGGAGTACTCGCAGTACATCATCAGCGTCCAGGAAGTCCTTTGTGTAGACACAGACTATGAGAGGTTTTTCGTCAGTAGTTGTGCACTACCTGTCGTACGTCAAACTTACTTAGTCGCTCGTCCTTGCCGTCGTCTGTGGCCACCTTGCAGGTACATCCAAGTCGATTATCGATCACATTCGCGACAACTTGCTTCCAGACCCGAGCAACTTCCACAGCTTTGGGGAACAACATCCACTAACACCAGTCAGTGATTTGAAGAAGTGAATGATCGGGCAGCTAATGGAACTTACCTTTCCGGACAGAACATGCGTGTCCTTTGCAAGGTCCGAGATCCGTTCTTGTAGAGCTTTGCTCTCTTGGAGGAGCTGTTTAGTAACCATGCCCCTAGGCCCCTTCGCGCCTTCATTCTGGATGTCGTGGCGGGTCTGGAGCGACTGTTGAAGTAACTCCGTGCCACGCGATGTAAAGTCGTGAACGCGCGGCGAAGGTGACTTGTCGCGAGGATTGCGATACGGATTAGCAGCCCAGATCCAGGGACATGTAGAGATGGAGGTTGTGTATGGAGGAAGTCGCCTGACAAAGTCATCAACAGGCTCGCCTAGCTGCCACGCATCATCCTGTCCTTCCAAAGGATTGAACAATTCAAGTTTCGAGGCTGACACAGGTGAGGGCTCTCGCTTTCGCTTGCCTTGTCTTGCTAATCGCTCCTGCTCCATAGCTTGGCGGTCGATACCCGACATGTCGAAGGTGTTAGTCTTTGCCGCAGGTTGCTTGTCTGACACGGCTCCATCTGATGGTGGTGCTGGTGTTCTTGCGGCAGCCGCGATTGTGTTTAGGTCTTTGGCATGTGCGCGCCAGAAAGGTCCGGTCTTGAAGCTTTCACACTTTTTTGATTGGTGTTGTTTTTCATCCTCGTCACCTAAATCCACCGTCAGTCACATATCATGGGATTAGCTTGAGTTGTTCAAACTTACCATAGAAACTGCTATCATCTGAGATCCACCCTTCTCCAGATACAGTATCCTCCTCCGCCATCTTCCGCACTGTGAGTACTGTCGCAGTTCATGCCCTGCCCAGGTGAAGTTTGAGCAATGTGGAGAATGTTTGCTCGACTTGACGCGATATGACGAGCGATGTTTACACGGATGGGGAAGGAACGAGGGACGGCGGACAGGGGTATCCCTGCAGCCCAAACGCGCCCGCGACCACTATACGCGAACGCGTCGGCCAACTCTTTCACCCCCAGCATCCGCGTCCTCACGACATATACCTCCAAATCCAATCGCATGACTTCCGAGATGCCGCACTCAGTTACGCCGGAATCGACGCCCGCAGAGGAGTCCTCAGCGACAGTGTCCCAAACGGATGCTATCAAACCCGAGCCGGAGACGCAAGATGTTGCAATGGAAGACGCACCCACAGCCGCCGCGGTAGAGAAGCCCAAGGTAAACCTCGAGGAGCTCTTCGACGATGAAGATTCAGACGAAGAGTTTCCTTCGAGCGCGCCGGTGCCTAGGTCGCAGGAGGACGCCTCGCAACCCGCACCAATGTACGCCCCACCTACCGACATAATGCATTCATGGCGCTTGCTGACACCGATACAGCAAGATCACATCCAAATCCTCCTTCTCCGACCCAGACGTCATGCGCGCATTCTACCAACGCCTGTTCCCCTTCCGTCCCCTCTTCCAATGGCTCAACCATTCCGCAACACCCAGCAACGACTTTGCACACCGCGAATTCGCCTTCACCCTACCCAACGACGCATACCTACGATACCAATCTTTCCCAACAGCCGATCTCCTGCGGAAGCAATGCATAAACATGCTGCCCTCACGTTTCGAAATCGGTCCCATGTACAGCACAAACCCAAGAGATAGGAAAACACTGCGGAAAGCGAGCTCGTTCCGCCCGTTGATGAAAGAGCTGGTCTTTGATATCGATATGACGGATTACGACGACATCAGAACATGTTGCACGGGTGCGAGCATCTGTCTCAAGTGCTGGGGCTTCATCACAATGGCCATCAAGACCATCGATGTTGCTCTACGGGAAGACTTTGGCTTCAAACATATCCTCTGGGTGTATTCCGGTCGTCGAGGAGCCCACGCCTGGGTCTGCGACAAACGAGCCCGAGAAATGGACGACCAAAAGCGCCGCTCCGTAGCCGGCTATCTCGAACTACTCAAAGGAGGAGACCAGGGCGGCAAGAAGGTCAACGCGCGACGACCTCTACATCCTCATCTCGAGCGCAGTCTGGCTATCCTGAAAGAGCACTTCCAGACCTCCATCCTCGCTGAACAAGATCCCTGGGCCGCGGAAGAAAAGTCCGCGCACCTCCTCGACCTCATCCCAGACCCCACGCTCAGAGCAGCACTGAAGAAGAAGTGGGACTCTGCGCCCTCCCGCCCCAGCGCATCGAAATGGGCCGACATTGACGCGTTAGCCAAATCTGGCGCCTTGTCAAAGACACCCAAAGACCTCCTCGAAGCCAAGCAAGACATCATCCTAGAATACACATACCCCCGCCTCGATGCCGAAGTCTCCAAGAAACTTAACCATTTGCTCAAGTCGCCATTCGTAATTCACCCCGGAACAGGACGTGTCTGTGTTCCGATCGACACACGGACAGTGGAGGATTTCGATCCGTTGAGTGTACCAACAGTCACGCAATTACTCCAGGAGATCGACGATTGGTCAGGCGAAGAAACCGACAAGAAGATACAAGATTGGGAGAAGACCAGCTTGAAGCCGTATGTAGACTACTTCCGACGGTTTGTCGCGGGCTTAGTGGACGAGGACAAACCAGCGCTGAAGAGGGAAAGGGAGGAAGGCGCCGATGCCATGGAATTCTGATGACATACCGCTCATAAAGAACGTGAGGGCATGTAGGGCGCCTGGCGTTCGGGAAAGACAGATTGGAATATGAATGATGCATATCGACGTTCTCAATATCTACCCACTACCATACTCACTCAAAGATTCCACACCCCACATGCTACCTTAACCAAGATTACCCAATGAACACACATTCCCCTCCATAGTACAATACGGCATCTGAATCGGCTCCGCCCCAATTCCCTTGGCCACCAACCTCTCTCTCATCTCGCTCAACCGAGGCGCCGCATCAATCTGACTCCTGTTCTGACCCATCTCGTCCTTGGCACCCGACCATAGTACTTCCGCAGCCGCCGCAGCACGGGGCCAGATCATCCTATCGACATTAACGGGATCGGTTTGCTCGGCCCACATGTGCGCTTCGCCGCCGATGACGAGATGCTGGTTCTCGACAGGGACGCCGTGTAACGGGTCGTAGGAGTAGATTAGTCGCCAGTTGTGGAAGGGGGCGCAGTAGTCTTGGTAGGGGTAGTAGTTCGCGCTGACGGAGGGGTAGAAGTTCAGCCATTGGCCTTTGCCGCAGTCGAGGTACTGTTTGGGTTTGTTAGTATACGCGAGATGTCATGAAGAAAGGAACATGTAGGATGGAGAGATGAGAGTTTCGCTTACCCAGTAGTTGTAGTTCCCAACTATGGCTTTATGTCCCTGTGACACAATCTGTGCAACTGCTTCGTCGCTCTGCCACGATTGCACGAGTACATCAGGGCCGAGTGTTAGGTTCCATTCCAGCAGCATCTCTTCCCACACTACAGGTGTAAGTCCCATGGCGCGTACCTGGTCGTGGTTCCGATCGACAAATTTCTGCATCAGCGGCTGCAGAATAGCCGAATCGTTGCTCTTGACCGTGTCATCAAACAAATACGCGTTCTTGTTTACTTCATCACCACCAGTGTGAAAGTACGTCGAGTATGGAGACACTCTAGGTAGTACATCATCGAAGAGCTTCTCTAGGAAATCATAGACAGCGGGCGAGTTTAGTTTGAGTGTACCAGAGGGTGGAGAGGCGGCGTATGTGTTCCAGTCTGGCTGGATACCGAACGCAGCGATTAGCTCTGGCATACTGTAGTGGATGCTGGAGGTGTGGCCTGGCATGTCGATTTCGGTGATCATTTCCACGCCTTGGATCGCGGCGTAGCGTTGTATCATTGCGAAGTCGTCGGCTGTGTAGACTAGATCGGGCCGGTACGCTCCTTTGGCCGATAGCTCGGGCATAGACGGTATCTCCAAGGGCCAGGACTGGCTGTCTGTTACGTGCAAATGGAATCTGTTCATCTTGTTGTAGGCAGCAGCGTCGATTTGCCGTTTGATGTCGGCTGTGGAGAAGTAGTTACGTGACACATCGAGGTTGATGCCGCGGTGTTGGAATTTTGGACTGTCGGTGATTTGAACAGGTGCCAAGGGGGTGTATACATGCTGCTGATCGGAGTGTGCGTAGAAGAGCTGAGAGAATGTTGTCAAGCCGCGTGCTATCCCTACACTGGTGTTTGCGCTGATGCTTGCAACCCCCTCTTTTGTCAAGCTTAGACTATAGGATTCGTCAACCTCCCCAGCAAGTGGCTTGGTGACATTAGGGCCGGCGGTTTTGAGCACTTTGACGTCGACGCGAGAGATGTATGACGTATTCGACTGGCTTGGAGACGGCTCATCCCAGTCTCTAGGGTGAAACTTCCATGGATAAAAGTTGGTTTGAAAGAGTGTTGCCCATGTAGAATTGATGGCGTACACAACAATATCGTCGCTAGTGATGCCTTGGCTGGTGGCTGTTTCGGACTTCTCGCTAGGTACCGGTCCAGTGTATCGCGTGCGCAGTTTCAGGTCGCTGCTGTCCTGTGCGTTTGGAGCTTGGTTAGAATTGAACCCGAAGAGAAAAGGGATCTGATCCATGATTGAGCCTACATTTCTTGCGCCAGGTTCATACCAGTAGAACGGTACATCTTCTTTAATGAAAAGAACAGCATCGCCATATTCATGGGAGACAGGTACAGGCCAAATGGCTGCTACTGAGGATATGAGAAGAGATAAGGTGGTACATGTAAGAGGCTTCATGTTGCAAAAAGACCGATCAAGATGGGAAGAATCAAAAGATCGTTGAACAGGAGAGAAGAGACGGGTGGATTACGATCTATGTATAATAGCGAAGACTGGCGCAAGGAATTATACCAATGTAGGCCCGATCCGGATGCTCCGAATGGTTTCTCGAAGCGTAAGCTCCTGCGGTATTCCCGGCAGTTGCAACGATTGATAATATATCGATGCCAGTAGAGTATATAGACTTTGTCTGAGATAAGCCAGTAGTAACCTTGTGGTAGTATCGCGGTCCTTGACTGGAGAGTTCGACAAATGCGAGCTAACCCTGAAGTGGGGCAAACCGTGGGATCGAGCAAAAGGTACGATGACGTGCGGGCGTTTAGCTGTCAGCCTCTTCTTCAGCGAAACTTTATCAGCTCCGACTTGAGCTCCAAGCTGCTGTAATGTGCCACCTGTGCCACGCCCTCCACATCGCATGATCTTCTGGGGTTGTCCGCGGGTTGATGATGACGGGAAGATGCAGCCGACTCGGCAAATTGGGCGATCAGCGACAAGATGACAGGAGGTATACGCGTCGCATGTTTTCCCGCAAGCAAGTAGCTGAATCTTCGCCAGTCACGAACATACCGTCTTCTGCTTTGTATGCAGTCCATTATGGCAACAGCATGGTGGTCGGAACCCCAAGTCTTCCAGAATTCGTCCGAGCGGCCACGATGCTACCACCATCCCCACATGGTCCAGCTATCTCGATCGCCCTTCCCCGCTTTTGCAGGGCATCAGGGATGCGCATGAGCGCACGACAGCTACGCGAGCCCTTAGCATTGCTCCCTTTACGTCGAAAATTGCGAGTCTTGCGGCACGGGGGGCTTTCAGATGTCAAGCCGAGGTGTCCCAAGAGCACACGACGCTCTGATTGCACCACGACGGGAGGCAGCAAGCTCGTGTGCTATGAAGAAAGTTTAGCATTGCAGCGCCAATGCTCTTCACGTCTCCAGGCAGCTGTCAAAACTCGGCTTTCTTGTCGATCCGAGAACTTTAGGGTAGGTCGATTACCCGCCGGAAGTCCACTCGGCGTTCATAGCGCATTCTCTTCCATGTGAATGCCACCA